GACAGGTGTGTTATTTCTTCGAACCTTCTCTTAAAAACAAACAAATGCTCTCTCCCTGCTTTTCCTCCTCACTCTCTCCCTCTCACCCCCGCGCCCTCTGCCTGGGTCCATCATCATCATCATCATCATCACTATCTCATCCACATCCACAGCAACATGTGCTCCTCAAACAGACTAATCCGTTCACGCGCTCTTCACGATCGCCCACCAGTGTAACAATCACGGGAGCTCCGTGCAAATCAGCACCCATTCACCGCGGCATCTCCTCCCATCAGAGCGGGATAAACACTTTTCTGTAACGTGTGTTTTTTTTATTGTAAATCAGGGGCCACTGAGATGAGCAGCTCCCCCGGCACCGAGCTGCCTCCTCAGCTCTGCACTCGCCTCCTTCCAGGATGCGTTAATATCCAAACATTAAATTCTCAATTTTAAAACACAGATGTGGGAACAATCTATGAATTGACTCAACGTCAGAACCAACTGCAGTCTTAAGAAACGACTCCCTCAGGTTTTTAACATCTTTTTACTGGAAGTTCGCGTTCCCCTCCGTGCGCCGTCTGAACCCGGAGCCTCGTGGTTCGTCCGCTAAACCATCACAGAATGGTCTTTGAACCAGAACAGCAGCGGGTTCTCAGCCGTTCACAACATCCACTGGTTTATTATGGAGCAATGGAAGCCGTAAATGGAACCGCTCCTTTGAAACTAATTAAACACTAAGCGACGATTAACTGTAGCGCTGCCGCAGCGCCGAGGCGCCACTAAAACCTGCGCACTGGATGAGTAGGGCGCGCTGCGTGCCCTCAACACCGGAGCTCTGCGTAATGGATGGGTTGGAAAAGTAAAAAAAAAAAGAAAGAAAAAAAAAGTGGTACCTGTGGCCATAAGGCAGAAGATGAGGTATAGGGCCGGCATCGTAGTTGCTCCGGACATCGTTTGGGTAGAATGCTGCCCCTCCGTCACTGGGCTGCTGGTCAGGTTATGGTCCGCGGCACTGGAGTATCAGCCAAACGGCAAGTGCACAGGGTTTCGTCTATAATAACATCCACTTCTGAGGTTGTGGCTGTGACCGCTCCGTACGGTGAACTCTGAGTCAACACAGCTTCTCCATAGTTGGTAACTTTCCCCGCTGCACCGGCTCTGCTCTGTCCGCTGTCCCTTCTCTGTCACGCTCTGTGGCAGTCCATCAGTGGACGGTGCGTTTCATCCACAGTCTAATTTCCACACAATGGGATCATGCTGCGTCCGACAGCGGTCTCTCTCTCTCTCTCTCTCTCTCTCTCCTGTTGGGCGATGCGCAGTGATGGACCCTGGTGAAGTTGCCCGTCTCTGACTCCTCTGCTGCTGCTGCTGCTGCTGCTGCTCTTCTCTCTCTACTACTCTCCCCCTCTCAGAGTGTGTGGACTCACCCCCTTTCTCTCACTCTCTCCTCTGCCGGTCTCCACTCTGTACCTCTCACTCCCTCTTTCCAATAGGAAATGCGCACTGACAGTCATCTGGTAGGGGGAGTAGCTTACCTCAAACCTGGCAGGGGCTGTAGCGGAGGAGCCTCTCTCTCTCTCTCTCTCTCTCTCTCTCTGCCGGTGGGGGCCCAGCAGCCCCCTCCCTCAGGGGACCGCTATTGGCTGAATTGGCGTCATGGGGAGGGTATTTAAAACACTTATCCCCAGTTAAACAACTGTCTTTACAATTCGGAGTCTGCTCGGAGGCTTTATTTCCACTTCAATAAAAAATGTAATGGACTAACACTCAGTATATGGGTTGGAGGAAATGTGAACCACTGATGTAATCTGTGGTTCACATGATCTAATGCCCCATACAGTAAACTGAAACACAAAGAAGTACCGTAGCCTGGAAACCTGCACTGAAAACTGTCCACAGGTCCATGTGGGTCTGATGACAGTGACCCAACTTTGGGATGTTGCTAATGCATGAAGCCCACATGGACCAGAAATGAACAGCATCCTAATGGTGCCTTGTAAAAGTAAAATGTTATTGTGTGTTGTGTTTAGGGACGTGTGGTGGAAGAGTGATTAGTTGTGTTGCCTTACTGCTCAAAGATCAGTGGTTCAATAGCCAGTGCAAATTGATTTTCAGTCTAGATGGATAGATAGACATTCTCTATCTGTCCTTCAGGAAATGTAGGAGTATGTTGACTTTGGATGTTTTCCCTAAATGTTCGACTCTTAATTGTCTGAATTGAAGTCTCAAGTCCCAAACTTGTGACTATTTTTTTTACTGCCCACCTCCAGGTAAAAGAACTAGGAACAAAAATCAAATGTTCCGGGATAGAACACCAAGCCAGTGTTAGTCTGCGTGATGAGCTCAAGTCTATTTACAGAGTATGACTAGACCTTAATTCATTTATAAACACATCTGAATCAGGCTCTGCAGAGAACAGCACCAAAATGTGCTGGAATTCATTTGTTGATTGTTTTTATTTTCCGAGTGGACTCGCAGAAAGACTTTCCAAATGTGGATCAATTTCTAATTTAAAGAAATGTTACAATTAGAAATTACTATCGGACTCCATCACTGGCCTTTATTACCCGACAGATTCAGCGATTAATTAAGCGCATCGTGTGTAAGTAGCTACATTAGTGCGTGTTTGGCTGCAGATGTTGTGGTGTAATGATCAGTTCAAAGCAAACACTTTTAAAGAAACAAATCAGTGACAGTAACTGTATAAAAGACTGTCAAAGGAGCGCTCCTTCATATAGATCTGTTTTCAAAGGTGAAAAGGCGTCATTATGAATAACTGAGGTGACACATGATCACCCAGTCGTCCTGCAGGTTAAAAAACAAACAAAAACCTAACAACATGTCAGACTCTGCCATTGGCCTTGTAACCTGCTCAGAATATCATAACAAGTGTCATGTAACATGAACTCTCTTTCTAACCAGATAACACACTTAAATATATCTTAACAAAATCTGGTGATAAAAAACAAAAACAAACAAATATCACCAAGTGCAGACTGTGGTGAGGATGGAAACAAAATTCTAAATTTACCATGATTTTAAATTTGAATATTTTCAAGGGAATAGAACCAGACCAAATAAATATTAAAACAACTCAACCCTTGGCATAGATATAATTATCAAACTTCTCAAAGCCATTAGTGACACCACAGAGATGTCACTTTAATTTATTTTCTTATTCTATTACCTGTCAAAACATTCAAGCAGCTCATATTAGGAAAAACAGTGGAAACATTTCACGTTTGTTCTGTTTTTGACTTTAAGTTATTTATGCACCAGTGCTCAGATAACTGCTCAGAAATAAGTTAATAAACATCGTGATTTTTAAAAAAAAGTTTTTTGAGGTGTGAAAAACTTAATGAAGTAAAACGTGACATAGTGGGACACGTGACAAAGATATAACGACAAAACCAGTCACAGCTGTTGGAGTGTGTGACTAACTGATGTCACTGGTTCATGTTGCGTTGTACTGGTTTTAGTAACGTGAGCACGTTGAAAGGAAAAACCCATTGGTGTAAGAACCTGCTCCAGGGTTGTTTACACTGCATGGCTGCTTTTACAACAGAATAGACAACAACAACTGTGCTGGATCATTACGTGCTCCCACCATCCCATAATAAGTTCTGTTCATTTAAACCTAATTCACCTAGAATATAAATGTTACATTCGTTATCCTGTGGCTCTGTTTCAGCCAATATTTGAGGCTCATATTGTATAAATTCATATGCACTTATTGTTTTGTTGTTTTTTTTTTTTTAAACCAAATTATCATCTTTGAAGTTCAGTGAAAACATTCTCTTCTCAGGTGTGGTTTGATCTGGAACGAGCGAGTCTGTTGTTGGTGGTCAGGCAGTGTGCAATAAAATGAAGAGAATGGAATCATTATCATATTTCAACAAAAGCAAAAGCTTTCACAAAAGGATTAAAACACTGCAGTCTGTCTGTAGCCCCCCGGCTGTTTATAAACCTGTTCTTTGATGTCGCTCATTAGTTATTCAAAGATCTATTGATTAACTAAAATAATAGGCCCTGCAGCCATTGGGTTAATCAGTCCTTCACTTGTATATTGAACTCAGCAATGATTTAATTTCATCCTAACACCTCTCTGTCTCTCACTCCCTCTCCCTCTGTCACACACACACACACACACTGATGGTCCAGATGGTTGGTGCTTCGTGAGTCTGTGAAAATGTATCAAAGTGCGTAGATCTGGACACAGCGGTCGTGTGTGAAGGATTGAGCAAACGTCACGGACAATAATAAAAGTCTTTCATTTCCACATTTTCTGGCTGAATTTAATTAAAAAGCTGAACCACATGATGATTAGGCCTCACTCCTCGTGACACCTCCCCCCCTCACCCCATCACCACCACCTCCCCTCCACCCCCAAACAGTAGTTCCATCCCCTGGGGTCGGCCTTTCTGTTTATTGCCTCCCTGTAATGCAAACATAAGGCTCCCCTGCCAGTAAACACATGTTGATGGAAGAAACAGCTTGCACAGCTGGGAAGCCAAACCAGGTTTAGAGTGAGTGTGCACCAGTGTGGTGTGTGTGTGTGATGTGTGCCTCAGTGTGTGTGTGTGAATAGATTGATGTTTATATATATATATATACTGTGTATTTGATTGCAGTTCAGGTTGTGTGTGCGAACACTTGAATGTGAGAGTGAGAGACAGCCAATAATCAAAAGGAATCGCAGCCTCTTTGGTGTGTGTTTTGTGGGCTCCAGTGTGTACATGTGGAACCATCAATGAGTGACTGGAAGCGGGAGGGGTGTGGGGGGGTGAGGGTGTGCGGGTGAGCAGTAAAACAGCAGGGTGTCTCCACTAGTTGTTGCTGTGATAATAAAATCAACATCCATTGTGCGAAGTCTGTCAGCAGGCATGACGCACTGATTGAAATGTATGAACTCCTATGGCTCGCACAGATGGACGGAGTGACGAGCACCAAACAGACCGTCCGTCCGTCCGTCCGTCCGTCCGTGCACCAGCGTCGGTTTGAGCCAATAGTCTTAATTATGCCGGCCTCGGTGGCATCAGATGCAGTTTGTGAATAATTTATAAATAAAAAAAGGGAGGAGGGGGTTAAAAGTGAGGGGTTATTAATAATAAATATGGTTTGATATTTACTAAACTGTTGAGAGGGGGAGAGGGGTGACAGTTAAGACACAGTTTGAATGGTAATTGTAAAGCTGTGATAAATAAGGCATGAGGTAGAGATATATGGAAATGTGATTCCCAGGGAAATGAGAATAATTTAACAAAATATTATCCCGGTCCCTATTTGACCCTGGGTCAATTAAAAAAAAGAGACGGCAGCCGCGGTGAACGGCATGCTGGGGCATAAAACTGACAGAGGCGAAGTCTCTCTCTCTCTCTCTCTCTCTCTCTCTCTCTTTGCCTGGTCGGAAGGATGAAGGAAAATGTATTCTCACTGACATGAGTCATGCGTTGGGTTCCATGAATATTAAGCTGAATAAAATGATTGGTTGTCATAATCATTATTTGCTGACAGAAGATAAGACGTCCCTTTTCTCTCCGCGGTGAACTTTATGTAACAGGAGCCAAAAGTTCAGGAAATGGAGGATTGTTTTGTTTCCAAAGCCATTACTGCTGTGGGAAAATTCACTTTCAGACAAAACAGATTATGTGGCTCTGTTGTGAGATTATTTTCCAAACATATAGGTATGTGGAATGAGCGCTGGCTCTCATTTAAGAAAACACATTTTTCATTTTGATCTAATTGGATCTGTATCGTAATTAATAAACCCGGTCCTGGGATTTGAAATACAGCCCACTGGATTGATGAAAATTAACTCCCCGGCTCGCTACACTGTGGTGTACAGTGTCCATGTTAAATTGTTTGGGTTCCTGGAGGGGTCTAAGGTTTATGCTGCCATCCATATGAGAAACATTACACCAGCTTTTACTGTAATTGTGATATTGAACGTTGAGCTGATCAGTGTCAACCATAATTCTAAATGCTGCTACCAGCTCATAACTCATAGGACATATACCTTTGCTGGGCAGTGGTATCCATCTGCCGAGCCAGTGAGCAATTCAAAACCTGTCTCCTCTCTCCCATTCCAATAACATGACGTCAGTCCACTGCACTCCTCTGAAATTTGCAATTAAGCATTTTCTCTATGTGTGATTGACGATCGTGAGGAGGGCCATTAAAGCTCACCGTGGACCTGGGGCTCGCTCTATGGTCTATAGGACTATTTCCAGGCTCGTATCAGATCCGTGTCCTCTGCCCTAATATCAGAACATGACTCTGGCCACCCATGGATTCTGTTTTTGTCTGTAATGAAAGTCCCTCTGGGGATCTGGTTGAGGGATTCTTTTCTTCGTGGGTCAAGGAGAGGTTGAGGCTTCTGGTTCAAGCTGCGCTCAGAAAAGGGTGTGGATTACAGGAATGTTTCCCTTTAACACAGACTCTATAGAAATATAGGATAGACCTTCAGTCTGACGTTACAGTAGCCGCTGCCAGCAGACTTATCTGGAGGAGTTCCGTAAGGAAACCAAGACGCCGCAGCTGTAATGTTGGACACAGTCTGCTGTCGAGATTCAGAAGAAGTCGTTTTTTAAGGACCACGTTCTTCCATTCTACTGTCAGAAAGGCTTCATGACATTGAAATGATTCGTATGAATTGTTCTGTCCATCAGCCCAATTCCTGCCAAGCGGCCATGATGTTCAGTTTATATAAACTGGCAGTAAAATAAATCTTATTCCACAAGAGTTAGTATATCTTCAGAATTTTGGGAAGGAGGCAGAATTAGATTAAAATATCTTCTAACGTCATGGTGA